GGGGGGGGTGTAGTCACCCAAAATAAAAAGCCACTCTGAGAGAAAAAAAAAAAAAAAATTGTAAACGCCTGCCCGGAGCGAGCGGTGGACAGTTGGGACAATGACATGAGAGGAGCTACATGTGTTTGGATGACTTTCTTTCAGTCGGGATTGATTGTCCCCCGTCTGTCAGTTCCCTTCAACGCTGCGACATTCATTTGCGCTCGTGTGGATTCCATAATTTGGCTTTGGGCCTTCAGAATGCCTCGAAGGGCGACAAAACACACAATTTTGTTGAATTTGTTCAAGGAGAAAAATACTTATTTTGTGTGTCCTAAACTACCGTATTTTCCGTACTGTACAGCGCACCTAAAAGCATTCGATTTTCTCAAAAGCTGACAGTGCGCCTTATAATCCGATGTGCCTTCTGTATGGATCAATGTTCTCATTTCTTGGACGTCGTTTTTTAAACGTTTTGTGGCCATTTCAATAAAGCTGTAGTGTATTGCATTGTAGAGACTTTAGCATAGCTCCATCTAGTGGATGCATAACACAAGCGCAGCCACTATTGTAGCTTCTATTCTAAGCGCCCTATAATGTGGTACGCCCTCTATATGAAAACAGTTTTAAAATAGGCCATTCTTTGAAGGTGCGCCTTATGCTCCGAAGCAGCTTATAGTGCGGAAAATACGGGAGTTTGTAATTTAGGTGTTAAAGTATTTCTTTGAAGACAACAAATTTATGCCACCCATTAATCCTCCCCTTGTTTTTGAGGGACTTCCTACCAAAAGGCGCCCCGATTAGTGATCTGTGAAAAAAAAACGACGCCGTGCCTGCCACGTTTGTGGATGAATTTGATCTGGTCCCCACTTAACTTCTTCCGACAACTTGATTAAAATTAGCCAGTGCTGTTGTTTATGGTCAACCGGGCGGTGTGGCCGCTTTCCAAAAGCAAGTCGAATCATGCCGGCGAGGAGACGGCGACGTGTAGGCGGATTGAACGTATCTTGGAGGATGTTTCAAAGCCCTCGAGATGGCTAATCAAGTAATGACCCGCTTGGCCTCGGCCTCATCTGATTATAAATAACCTATGGAATCATCACCGCTGATTGTGTTTCCAGTCCCTCGTTCTTCCCTCGCTGTTATTTGTGCGTCTCTGCCGCTTGTTCATAAAGGGACCCTGAAGACAATAGCGCTCATTCTAATAACGTGGCTTGTGATTGTGACGTCTTCCTACCTTTCCCCTTATTTTCCAGGCGCTGTTTAGCCACTGGCGGGGGTCACGGCAGGTTGATGAAATGACACGTCCCTTTTGTGCGAGCAGGGGCGCCGGGGCGGGGGGCGACTCTGTCAGGTTGTTATTAAGCCCGATTCTGCCAATGGGCTCCGACGCGGATGCGCTGATCAAAAAGTTGACAGCGGGAGAAGAATGGAGTATTTCCGTCCTCTTGCTTTATGATGATTGCTCATTATCCCGCGGCTTTAAGGAGGCCAGTGGCAGAAATCCGCTGATTTCATAATGCCGTCTTTTGAATGCTCCGCCGGTCCGCCCTGATGGCAGTGATGGGACTGATGCGTGATTCTTGTCTTTTCTAGGGGGAAGAATAGCGGAAATGATGATTACAGTTTGCGCTGTCCTCCCTGACATGAATCCTGTTGACATCGTAACAAGCGCATGGGAAAGTTTGAACTGCGCATTACAGGTTGGGCGCTTTGAATAGCAGCGGGAAGAAGACGGCAGACGCGTTCTGTTCTGTTGTTGTTGCTGCTGCAGAATCCATTCCTTCTTTGCTTGTTGTCCATTCGTGCCGTGTTGAGGGAGACGACACACTTTTTTTTCCCACAAATAAGCAAAGAAAAGGGTAAGAGTTGGAGATTTATCATCTGGAGATACAAGAAAAGTGACAGGGATGCATTTTGGACTCTGGTCTGGACAATGTGTGCATTTCAGCTGCAAAGTTGCAATGTTCTGCTCAATACGGTCACATAAGGATGCTGGTTATTCAGTTATGTTTACATCCATGGCCACATATTTTCATAAGCAAGCGACTCACCAGTCAAAACATACACCTCCAATAAATTCATAATACAAAGTGCTTTTTTTTTTTTGTTCCCCCCACACAGGAGTCCTGCCATACTATCTGCCTCGACTCTGGTGTGGACTACAGGAGGCTGCAGGAGACTGGAGCAGGAAAACGCTACTTCCTGTAAGACCCAAGCAACCCTTATTGTAATAATTACTTTTTCTATGCATTCCTATTTTTGCCCTCCACAAGATTTTTTTGTGATATTAAAAAAAATGAGACCAAGATCAATTATTTCCAAACTTTTCTGAATGCAGCCTAGACATTTGAATTGAATCCCTGACCAATTATTTTATATTTTCACTCACGAGAACTGCTGAACTTTATTTGCGGTTAATCAGAGACACTGAGTGGTGACTGGTCTGCATTGATTCCCATTATAAGATATTTTTTTTCATGTGACAGTTATAGGGTGTGCACACTTGTGCAACCATGTCATCTCTGTTGTTTGTTTTTAGTTCCCCTTTAAAAAAAAAAACACTAACAGTCTGTACATGACATTCCAGGTGGAAAACATTTTTGAAATGACGAATCTTACTCTCGTTTGAAAATGTCATTCAAACAAGGGGGTGTAGACTTTTTATAGGCACAGTGCATCGAGCAGAAAGTGACAACAAATGAGGAAGAATTGAGGATGATGAAGTCTCTCTCAACCCGAGAGCCAAAGTGGCGTCAATAGAATGTGACAAAATGGCTGAGCATTAAAAGCTAATTTTCTCTGTTATGAACACACACGCTCTCAAGCGCTCTCCTCTTTTCACTATATGTAAATAGAGTGCATCACTCACCGTTTAATAATGGGCACACACACACAGACACACGCGCGCGCACATGCACACGCCTCATTTGGATGTGCATTCACTGGCTAATGCTTGTTTAGTGTCGAACATCCATTTTTTTTTTTGTACTCAGAGTAAAAAGCTAAGCAGCCTCCTGTTCCACCGCGCTCCTCGCTGCTTATGTTTGATGTTGCCACTTGAGCATTATTAATTTCATATTGCATTAGCTCATCCATTCCCGTGTGTGTGTGTGTGTGTGTGTTTGTGTGTGTGTTTGTGTGTGCAGGACAGGAGAGCCTGGCACAGACGTTGTGTTGGATGCGATGTTTGACGAGCTGGCTTTTACCCAAAATAGCTGTAAGGAGGCTTTGATTTCATTGTTTAAAAAAATTAAAGCAACACAGTAAGTTTTAATTTTACTTAGCTTTTGACATTGACATTTCAACTCAGTTATTAGTCATTTTTAAAAATGTTCACGTTCATGGGATGTCCGCATTTCTGGGATCCTTTTCTGGGGCCTGGGATCACAAAAACTCAAATTTCATACCTTTTTTTTTTTTTTGAAACATGTTGATTGCAATGTCATTTTTTTTTTCCAAGAATTTAAGGTCTGCTTCAGATAACACATCGGAGCCACCACGAGCTCAATATCACAATCAGAAATGAACTAGTAAAGAAATAGCTGACATGGTGAGGTGTGTTTCCATAGTTACCGGTCCGAAGGTGCTCACCGTGCTGGGCAGGGAAGTGATGCTGGAGAAGACCTGTGGCTCTGTCGCAGACTGTACTTTTCACGAGCTGTGTGGCAGAGTAAGTGATGTCATTTGCCTAAAATATATATGTATATACACTGTACATAGTTTACATGGGTGTAGTTAGGTTTAATATTAGAAAGATACAAAAGCTTTATATATTCCTCCTTTTAAAATGCTCTATTTTGTTGTTTTTCATGGAAACAGCGGTGAATGGGCGTCCGTTATTCGCAAATTTTCCACTTTTCGCACACTCTATCCAACGCAAATAGCGGAGGTCCACTGGTATTGTAAGTCTATTTGAGTTGCCGCACCTTTTGTTTTCGGTAAAGTGTCGAAAGTGTTCAAGCACCCGGACAAAGGTTATTTCGCGTTCACATTCGAATGAGATGTTGAGCTGTTTTAAATCCACAAAGTGTGATTCTCCTTTTGTGATTCCATGTTTAGTTTGCTTCCATTTGAACAGAGGCAACAATAAAATGTGGGGTTTTTTTATGCACTTTTGCTTCTATGAAATAGCTTGACAGCACAAAGTAAATGGAACATGGCAAATCTTCCTCTTCAACTGGCAGACAAAACGCACCGAGGTCCCCTTATTGACAAAAATCCTCTCACTCCTCGTCTCAACTGCTCACATAGAGCAAACCTGCTTAATGCCGTGTGTGCTTTCGTTTTCCTTCGGTGGTCTTGTGCCAGCCTTTTCCCCCCCCCCCCCTCCCTTCACTGTCGCCGGCCAATTTTCTGCTCAATGTCAAAAAGCAATTCTATTGATGTTCCGGTGAATAGTTAGGCTGGGTTTTCTGCGCGTTGTGTATCTGTCATTCACTCTCGATGGATGTCTTGCAGCCTTTCTTTTGAGCGGTCGTCTTGAATTGCAAAGCACATTATAAAGATACAACAATAAAGTCCCTTTTTTTTTGCATTGGGTCAGATAAGCACGTTGGATTCATTCTAAATGTTCGTCCTTCAGGTTTGCGCGTCCGACTTGGGCACAAATCCTACCAGGCATCATGTGTGTTGTTTATTTTTTTTCAGTCTCTTGGAGCCAGCGACTATCTGGAGATGGCGCGGCTCTTTGACACGGTGTTCATCCGCCACGTTCCCATGCTGACATTGCGCATGAAGGACCAAGTCAGGCGCTTCACCACCCTCGTCGACAACTTCTATGACAAGAAGGTATTCTGACTGATCAAGCGAGGCTCCAAAAAATGCTCAATGGCATGAAAATCAGCTCTTGTCCCCACCCTGAAATGTTGAAAAGTAATGAAACGTGGGATTTTTGTCTCGAGATACAAGCCGAAAATTAGAGAAATGAGTGCGCTTCAGACGCCCACGTCTTGATGCCGTCCACAAAGTTCACAACGTCCAGTGGCCATCAGTTCACATTGGTTTCCTTGCCGTGGAGGGACATTACCACTTGGTGGCGCTAATAAAGCTTTTTTGCCAATAGACCACACAGAAGAAGAATAAGGACGGACAATACATTGGGCACAGCCAAGTTTTGTGTTTTTATTTTCCATGTTTGCCGGTCAGGCGGAAGGGGGGACATTAATTAATGAATAAATCCGAGTCTGTGTTTGATAGGTGAGAGTGGTGCTACAGGCTGCAGCTCCATTAGAGCAGCTCTTCACCCATACTGGAGGAGATGATGAGCGCGACCAACAGCTCTTGGATGACTTAGGACTGAAGGAGGTGCGATCGCTAAAGTCCACTTGGACACTTTCAGGAGCAAGAAAGCTGCCGAATGTGTTTACAAGCCGCTCTCCTATTTTTTTTCTGTCCATTGCTGTATTCAGAGCATCTCGGTCTGTGTGTTACCTGTGTTCAGGAGGTGGCAGAGCGTCTCACTCTTTTCACGGCTGAGGAGGAGATCTTTGCCTTTCATCGGACTGTTTCCAGGCTCGCGCAGATGCAGACAGACACTTACTGGGTGGAGGGAGATCGCAGCAAAAAACACCTCGACACATAATTTTCGTTCGTGGCTACCTGATCTGTATGTTGCATATAAAAAAATAAATAAATATAAACCTACTGATTTTTAACATCTTAACTGCTTTTTAAAACGTTAGCGACCACCCACGTGACCAATGCAGCACACCACACATCATAATCTCGAATACAATCACAAAGTGTCTGTCGTAGTACCAAGACCGACCAGTAGAGGGCAGCCTGTTACCTCAGAGCATCCAAACTGGGGGGAGAAAAAAAACCCTCAACACACCTCACACAACAGAATGGTCGCTTTTCCCCCACACATTACCAATGTGTTGATTTTTTAGGTTTACCCTTCCTTTAGTTTCAGTAAATAATTCCAGAATTTACAGAACCAGAAAGATCAGTAAACTCCTCAGCGGAAAAGGAGGCGGCCATGTGCAGAGTAGTTATCTGCTGCCCTCTCGTGGACAAAATTGGAAAATAATCCACTGTTTCGTTTTAAGCAGTTGTTTGTCTCGTAAATGAAATCCCCATTCGCTTACTGTGCATTACACTGCCAGCCCAGACAAGGAAATAACTACCACTGCCAAACTACGAAAAAAAAATCCCATACAAATAAACAGTAGCTATGTCACTGGGGGGGGGAAGCATCGTTTTCTCCCCCCTTTTCTCCCTATAGGTGGCAGCAGAAGGCAAGCATTTGCTACAAGGGATGAGTTTCTCCCTCTTCAAAGATGAGGTCATCTTCATGCACCATTCCAGGTTGGACCAGCCTTCTGCCTTCGCCAAAGCACAACAAAGAGAATTCTGCTCCTTTTAGATGCGTTCTACGGGGTAAGTGACCAAACAATCACAACACACAAACAACTGCAAAGGGATGTTGACCAATGCATTAGAGCTGGCATCACCCCCAGAAAAAAAAAAAAAGTTCATTGTGATAAAATGTGTTGGGTGGCAAGTCAGACATAAACATGAGTACCATGGATTAACCCACTTCCATTTCACCTTAGTGTAGGGGGGTCATGTTGTGCTAGATGTCAAGTTGGATCATGACAAGCCGGTATGCTTATGTGCTTACTTGTGTTCATCAACGTGGCCTGGGGTGGAGGGGTCATCTCAGGGGGGAGGTTCATCTCAGGTTTGATACACAGGTTGGAAAAGCACAATCAAAACCTAAAAGATAATGTCATACAATTATGCATAGATGACATATGATTTCGTTTGACCTTTAGCTTAACTGTAAATCCACTATATGCAAGGACTGGATGTGGCCAGTACGTTTGAGTACATGGCCTAGAGTTCTCTGCAGGAGTCAAAGTGCTGCATCAGGTGTTCTCTTTGGTGTGAGATGAAAAAAAAAAAAAAAGCGTCAGACAATGTGTGTGTCTGCTGTAATCCAGCTCGCTCCCAACTGCCTGTGAATTTCCATTCAGCATGTGGCAGCCTAGAAATGCGCTTATTAATAATCCATAGTATCCAGTCATCTTCAAAGTCGCCGCAAGCAGCACGGTGCAGGGACTGAAGTCCATTGCATTTGCATTCACCCCTTTTAAATGTTCATTTTTCTGGTTTATTACAATAATTGAGCATTTGTGGCCATTTTATAGCAAGTTTTTTTTTAATGTTTGCATGGCGGCCCAGCTCAAATTCTGTCGTTTGCCCACAACCTAAATTCTAACCAAACTGCACAAAATGACTGCCTTTGACAAAGCATGCATTTAGATCCAGCTCTTAAATGGATCTCACGCTATGGTCTAGGTGTTCCTAATGTTTTGCCTTGTAGATCACAATAAATCAGGCATCACTTGAAAACATTCTTGACATAAATGTACAATTTTTACGTCATTTACGACAATAAAGATTGAGCAATCTTCTTTTGGTCGTCAAGGTAGGCACCTGGTCATGGTCTCTCCCTCGTGAACGCGCATTCCGGCACAGGTGGAGACGCACTGTGCATGGCGGAGAGACAAAGAAGACCGCTTGTTTTCATCACGTCAAGAGTGAGAAGAAAAAGGAGGAGGAGGAGGACGAGAGACAACCCTCCTTCACTCTCTCTCACACTGGCTACTCATGGAGATGATGTCATCCTTGGGCCAGGTAGACAGAGCTGGAAGGGAGGTAGGCAGGGGTGGGAAGTGGGTGGAGTCTCAGTGCTCCTGCACAGAGTAATGGACAGGTGGTTAAAGATACACTTGGGGTTAAATAGAATAAAGTTATATGTTAGAGTGCTAACGAGCAGTAGACTTACTTGAAAGAATATTGATTTCATATCCCCTCCAGATGGATATGTTGATCATTTACACATCGCAAATCCTCTTAGCTCATCAGCGCAGCATTAATATCACCTGTTCTTTGCAGAGGATAAAGAATAAGACCGTGAGTGCTTGTCTGTCACTTGTGTTGCTGCGCTGTTTGTGTTCAATCCATTGTTGAAAGGGTTTGAGCACATTAGCATAGATGCTAAATAGCATAAAGCTAGCAAACTGAAAGGCGAAGGCATGCGGTTGTTTGCAATACTAGGTGCTATTATTACCTCTTGTTTGATGTTTAGTTTGACAGTAAAATTAAACATACTGTGGAAGGGCTAATGAATAGCATCTGTCCCCTACCGCACTGTCTTTTGTTAAAACACCCTTTAAATACCTTTTTTTTCCTCTGGCTTTCGACTCAACATGAGTTGTTTTAGTATGTTGTTTTATTTAATGTCTTTGTTATTGATTTACAGTAAGTTGTTATCATGCTAATGTCTTTATTCTAGCACACACAAAATTCATACCGGTTTTATCTTACTTTTATATCCCCCCCTCTAAAAAAAAAAGAACAATTTATTATCAAGTACTCAATTAGATTGAAAGTGTTTCATTGAAAAACCAAACCACTTCAACTAAAATAGTTGTTGTCAATGGCGCAGTCAACAACTGGTTCCTGGTAGTTGCAATACATTTAATCCCGATGTGGATGCAAACTTTGACTCGATAGTTACTGTCGATCTCCACTGACATGTTTAGACGTGTCCTGCTCTTGCATTGTCTCTTTAAAAGGCGCAGCCGTGCAGGAACAGGATCCACCAGGGGGGCTGGACCTGGATTGCCGAGCACGCTGGTGGCTGTCTGCGTAATATGCGCGTGTGCATGTGTTGTAGAGAGCACATCGAGATACAGTAGTGTAGTAAACCGGAGTGAGGTGGCAGTCTTGGGAGGAAAGAGAAGGCGATGGCGTGCGCGCGACTTTCTGAGATGTTTTAAAGTCTTGCTTTCTCAAGACACTCGCGGTAATTCATTTCGTCTCGGGTTTGGGACTTGAGTGCTTTTGGTAGTCAGAGTGACGATACGTCGTTCATTCGTGTCCCTCCACGGGCATTTTTTGGATTTTTTTTTTTCCAAGACAGTTTGAAGCGCGCGCGAGCCTTCAGTGGAATAGCAACAAAGAACGGGAGCGCGCATTGATGGGACGCGACTTTGACAGCTCTCCGTGTCGTCTCTCGTAAAGTCGAAAAGTAAAGGCGGACATGATGGCCGAGGCCGCGCTTTCCGACGCCGTGGCCATCGACCCGGACTTCGAGCCCCAGCAGCGGCCGCGCTCCTGCACCTGGCCCCTGCCACGGCCGGACTCGAGCGCCGCCAAGCCGGACGCCCACGACATCATCCCGGAGGAGGAGGACGACGACGAGGAGGGCGCCCACCACCAGCATGCGGCCATCGTCGGCGGCGTCTCCGGCGCGGGGACTGACGACCAGAGCAGCGGCAGCCCGCTGGCCGACGGCGCGCTCTCCTCGCCCGGCCAGGAGAGCGGCGGCTCGCCGCTCTCGGCGCACTCTCCCCCCGCCGCCTCGGGAGCGCTGGCCGCGGGCGGCCTGACCGTGCAGCAAACCCCCAGGAAGGCTTCGTCTCGCCGCAACGCCTGGGGGAACCTGTCCTACGCCGACCTCATCACCAAAGCCATCGAGAGCGCACCGGACAAGAGGCTGACCCTGTCCCAGATCTACGACTGGATGGTCAGGTCCATCCCCTACTTTAAGGACAAAGGAGACAGCAACAGCTCGGCTGGATGGAAGGTAAGAAGAGTCTCTCTCGCGCGCGCATGCACGCACGCCTCAGCCCAGCCCAGTCCCCCCTCCTTCCTCCATCAAAACAAAAACAAAAAAAGCATGTGCCTTGTCAACACGCACGCGAGACCACGGAGCACTTTTACGAGGGTCTGGTTCTCATCATGCCCATTAATTCCGTCACAATTCAGTCGATCACTTGTTTTTGTGCACCATTTGCATCTATTGAAATGTGCCACTTGAGTCACAGCCAACGCGAATACTTGTTGAGTGTGTCACTTCAGCAGTCGCTTACCGAGTGTTCACGGAACGTGGTCGGTGATATGACAATGTACTTTGAACACTAGTTATTTGTTACCGTTTTCAACAGTTCCATTTCAGCAAAAAAATACATTTGCATGCATGTTTGTATATTTGGGGAGTAATAAAGCCAAATCTGAAAATTGACCGCAACATATTGAATCGGAATCTCACGGAATGCACACAACTTGTTACGTACTTATATACAATATGTATATAATATGTATTTACGGTGACCAGTCTAGGGCGCATCAGCTGGACTCCTTTCAAGGACGGCGTTTACGACAGTGGACAGCTTATCAGGTTATCATTATTGGTGCATGAGAGGGTTAATGAATGGATGTATATAAGACGTTCATGAAGGACGTACATTCGATCCCATTTTTCTCCTACAAGCACCTATTATTTAAGGCGAGCCTCTTAAAGTGACGTAGCGATCGGCGCACCCTCACTAGCGAGCTGCTATAATGTATCAAGAGTTATTCATGTCACCTTAAATCTATTCACGCGGTTTCAAGCGCTTGTAGAAATCAAGACTGTTTGCCGCGCAAACGTTCGAGACACCTCCCGCTCGGTGGCGTGACGTGAACGGCTCTCCATTCCCAAATGACGCGGCGTAGGTGTCGCGAATGATCCGGCCGTTGGTGACGTGAACGCAACGCAGGGGTCCTTTTGTTTCTCCCGTTGCGAGCCATGTGCATGAGTAGTCCTCCGAGTGCACGGAGAGACAG